AAAGTTCGCCTGACAGTCTTTTCACTTGCTATAATGTTTAATTCTTCAAGTTGTTTGGATAATTGATAGGCAGTTGTTTTAGGGACTTTTCTTACTGCTTTTACAAGCTGCCTTTCATCACGAGTTGATAATTTTTTAGGTCTGCCAGTCCTGAGAGCTGCAGTTGTTTTATTTTTATTAAAATAATCATTAATGGTGTTTTCAACTGCTCTTTTGGATCTATTTAATATGTTGGCTATTTCCCTATAAGAAAAATTCGCCTTTTTTAAACCAATAATTTCTCCACGTTCAAATTCAGATAATTCAGTACCTCTGGGCATTTTGAGTCTTTGAAAAAAATATGGTTTAATTTGGATAAAAATTTGCTTCACGATTGCAATTTAAATTTTGCAAAATTTTTTTTTAACGATCTTCAAAATTGGAAAAAATCAATCCGTTTAGTATTTTTGTCAATAAATTGAGAAATAATATTGCACAATTTGCGAAATTTTGCAGACAACCAGTTTCAAACATGGCGAGCATTTTTTAATTATACCATAAAAGATGTTAGAAATTGCTATTATAGTCAATTTTTGAGTTAAAGATTTTTAAAAAAATTCCAGGATTTTCATTTTTATCTTTTAAGGTTTGTAAAACAACAATGGTTTATTTATATGCGGTGAAACTTCAGTATATTATATTATTTGATATGAAAATTAATTTTTACTTAATAAGCAAGTGTGATTGGGATAGTAAAATTTTTATTTTTTGTCATGTCACTTTATTCGATTATTTGTGATGATCTGCAGGTGTCCCTATACTTTTGTCCAGGTAGTGTATAATTTATTCGGGCCAATCAAATTGCGTGATAAAATCAAAATATGATCGACGAAAATCATTACCAATTTGCGAATGTCCGCCATGCTCACCTTTGATATTAATCCATAAATAAATACGTGCATTCGACCATTTCTATATCTAGGATCTGTTAATTTTAATTTAAATATATAGTACACCGTTTTGACCTTTATGTATCTACAAGGAATACCGGTGATTTTATTCTATTCCTTTGGAATCTAAGCGGTGTAGGTTTTGTTAATTAAACACGATATTTATTGATGTTTTATTATTTCTCGACGATAAAGGATAAAGAACACGATGATGATGAGTAATTGTATGATTTTACATCATCCACATCAGTTACTAGTGTATAGTCAGACTCTTCTGCACCATATTTTAAGACATTAAAATTTTCAGCATCAGGCATTATTGTATTATTAACAGATTCCGCATCAGAATCTGCATCAAATAATTACATAGTATCATTATCTTCATTATCATTGCATAATTAACATAATTAATGTATTGGTGGTTGTGATTAGAATCGGTGAAGCGATTTTTCCATTTGATTAAATTGGTTAAAATCTTTTTATATTATCAGAATCATTGCTGAAACAAAAAAAATTTAAATTCATATTAAAAATATATTATATGATACGCAATATTTGAGAAAATCAATCAATCTTCTGATTCAGATTCTTGAAGTGTTGTCATAATAGCCAAAGGCATGTATTTAATGGTAAACCATATCATCGAAATTAAAAGAATTATTACTTTAACAAGTTAATGTTAGATGTACTAATGAAAGAACTTGATGTATTTTTATCGCGGTTTTATTATAATCTATATAGATCTTTTAAAAAACAAATTTTATTCAAGTAGAGACCGTGATTGATGTCACACTTGATGGTATATAGAATGGAAATAAAAAGAAAATTACAACTTGTTTATTTTCTTAACGATTTCCCAAATGTCATCATTATTATGCTATTCTGTCATTTCTGTCAACATTTCCCATTCTCCTTTTAAGTTTTCTTTCCAAAATGTTACCTTATTATCAGAAGTTGCCACAGCTAAAACATTACCGGATAATGACCATTTAACGCTCAATGCTGCATCAGAAAATTTTTCATTGTGAAGTAATTTTTTGACCCATTGAGAATTTGGACTTTCTTGAGTCCAAATTAAAACAGTTTTATCCTAATCATAATTATTTTCATTATTGTGCATGTAATGAATTTTTCATGGCAAAAACTTCCCTAAAAACGAATGATTTACCTGGGACGCACTTGCTAAACAACTTTTAGGAAGTCCTAGATTAGGAGCCCAAGCAACATCGCGAACCCAATCAGTATGCCCTTCTAATGTGCTTTCTTCTTTCCATTCTTTAACATCATCTCTTTATATATAAAATATTTAGAATGATTTGAGTAAAAATAATATATGTATATATATAAATTGGACTTTTTATTTACCTATAAGACCAAATTTTTATATTATTGTCACAACCTGCAGTTACAAATTTTTTTGTAATATTGACATTTATTGCTCCACCAAGAGTCTGGACAAGCGCACCAGGTATTGTAGCAGGCGCCCAGTCTACAGAATTAACACCAATATGATGTGCATCATATAAATGTGCATCCCATGTTCCATCATCTATTTATTTATTTAAAATTAAATCAGCTGAAACTATTTCCAAGCATAAATATACATATATGCATAGATTTTATTTTATATTTCACCTTTAAATGTTAGAATTGAAACTTTTCCATCTGATGATGCACATGCTAAAATTGGTCCGATTTCATGAGGTGCCCAAGCAACAGAATTTACTATCAACAGTAAAAAATGAATTTTTATTATTCAATTTGTAATGATATATTAGAAAAAAAAAAGATTTGTTTCTGTGCACATTATACATTTATATACTAACATATGTACCAGATGCAGTATGTAACGTATGTTCTTTAATTTTCCCCCAAGATCCATTTTGTTCTTTCCAAATAATAACCTTATTATCATATGAACATGATGCAAGTATATTCCCAAATTTTGGATGTGCCCAATCGACTTGCCAAACTGGCCCTTCATGACTAAAAGGGAAAAAAACTTTTTTTTTAATAATAAATTTTGCTTTTTAATCAAGAATATAATGGTATTATTGTTTTTTACCCCTTCAACGTTTCAATTTCTCGATGATTTTCACCTTCTATTTCAAAAATCTTTACAGTAAAATCCGATGAACATGTTGCCATTTTCTTTCCATAATAATCAAGTTTAGCATCATGCTAAAATTTTTTTAGTTGAAAATTTATTAATTGATTAAATGTTTCTTTATTTCTTATGCACAAGTAGAATTTTGTCCAGGTTAAAGATGGTATATATTAACTTACAACCAGTTCTTCATGGTGAGTCTCAAGAGTAACTTGTCCACTGGCTTCTGTCTATATCAATAATAATAAATAATAAGTAAAATACTCGACATTGGAAAAGTATGAAACAAGTCACGGCTTACCATTTTTTTTACATATAAAATCAAAGTTACACCAATCAATTTCTATTTTTTATACAAAAAATCAATTTGTTTGATAAAGACTTTTAAAAAAAATGTCTTTTCCACACTGGCATTCGGAAGACCCAAATTGCGGGCCTGTTAACCCCATAACTGGTTTAATTAAACAATTTTCGCATGACCAATCGTTACAAAAGGTATAGTTTAATTATGTTTTAAAAAAGAATAGAACTCTACAACATAGAAAAGAGTGACATTTTCATGGAATGATATTTACTTTTTTTTTAATTTATAGGATAAATTCGTTCCTGTTCAACACGGTGAGAGTTCTAAAGAGGTATTTTTTTTTTGGATTAAAACGATTAATGTTACGATCCATATTTATTTACATCATTAGTTTTATTTGATAGATTTTTAGAACTAATTTAGAAATAGATGCGATAGAACATGAGGTAAATATTCTTGATAATTTTCAATTTTTTTACATATTGTTTGCTACTTTAAATTAAAATTGCTTTTAACATGCATGCTTAACCCCTTCTAGTCTGAGCAACAATTTTTCCAAAATCATCCAGAAGCAAATTCTCAAATGCATCACGGAACTTTCAACTTTGATCAGTTTAGAAACGAGTTGGATCATATTAGACATGATATGGGTCCAAGAAACAAGTGGGTAGCAGATTTCTTAAAAGAGCAAAAAATTTCACAACAACATAATCATATAACACATCATCCGTATGACAATAATTTTGAAGATTTTGAAAAAATATATAATAATAATTCACAACCAAAAGGTTAATATATGATATGATATTATATGATATGATATGATAAATTATCACGCTAATAATTAATTACTTTCCCCAAAAAAGATTCTTATAATGACAATTGGATTAATGAATTTGCGCAAATTGATCAAATGGCGCACAATCAATCAAATCCAGAAGAGATTGAAGCATTTGAAAAGGCATTTGATGACGCAAAAAAAAGTTGGTAATTATTATTATATTTCATTGAACTTTCTTATTATGTTAAATTAAATTAAAATATATTCATGTAAAATCACACGTACACACGTATATATATATATATATATACATATAATATTGTGATTAGGTGCTATTTGGAAATCCGAATTTGAAGCTCAAGAACAGTCATGGGCAACAGAGTTCAACAAACAACTAAATGAAGAGTCGGCCATAAATTCAGATGACTCAAAAATGCAGCTAGCAGAAACTGCTAGAAAATTGATTGAATCAGTCGAAGAAGAAGCAAATCCAAAATTTAAAAATTCGAATTTTATGAATTTTATGAAAAAATTAAGGGATCACGAAGTTTCAATTGAAGGTAATAAGGTAGTGGAACAAAATTTATCTCCAAACAATGCAGAATGGGCTGCAGATTTCGATTCAAATAACAAAAATAATTGGGCAAATGAATTTTCAACAACTACACAACAGAATAAAGGTAAAAATAAATGGACTGAAGAATTTATAGCTCAAGACAATAATACCCATGCAAATAACTGGGCTCGTGATTTTGCTGCAAATATGGAGGAGGACATAGATTTTGCTGCAAAATGGTCAGAAGAATTTGAAAAATCATTTGGAAAAAAAAATTATAAAGACAAGTCATGGGACGAGTTACAGGATGATTGGGATAAATATACACCTTCTAGTATGGGATACAAGTCAACACCCTCTCAATTCGAAGAATACCATTTCCAGTCAGCCAATCCAACCCTATCTAGATCCACTAACACATCATCACAACTAAAACTTAGAGAATCTATTTCAGCATTGGAAGCAGAAGTTCAATTAGACCCAAAGAATGCAAATGCATGGTATCAATTGGGCATTAAACAACAGGAGAATGAGCATGAAGCACAAGCAATAGCTGCTTTGAAAAGAGCAATCTTATTAGAACCTAAAATCTTAGATGCATGGCTTTCATTGTCAGCCTCTTACACTAATGAATATCGTTATGCGGAGGCATATAATGCATTGAAGTCATGGATTGAAAATAATGACAAGTATAATCATAATTTGGAAAGCCAACATGCAAAAATTGATCATAATGATCAACATAGGTTTATCACACAATTATTTCTGAATGCTGCTATATCAAATCCTGGAGAAAATCTTGATCCAGCTGTACAACTTGGCTTGGGAATCTTGTATAACATGTCAGATCAATATTCCAAAGCTGTAGATTGTTTTCAATCTGCTCTTACAAAAAGACCAAACGTAATTAATTATATTAATAGCTGTTATATATTGATTGTTCTTTTTTTTTACTCTATAATTAAATATGTATTTATGTTATTTTTTTTTTTTTTTAAAAAATTATTTATTGTTGAATAATCTTGGAGCCACATGAGCTAATGCAAAACAATTT